CGGAAATGATTGAAAAATGACTTTTAATGATCATTTTGGAGTCATTTTGACATCATTTTGATACTATAGTTGTTCTGCTTGGATAAGGAGCGATGCATTTGCACATCGTGCAATTTTGTGTGTACGTGCTTGCGCGCGCGCACGTGTGTGTGTGTGTGTGTTGTGTAATATACACAAAATTATATACCTCAAAATAAAGCCAAGTCCGCTTATTGTTACCGCTTTTGTTATTATAATCCTTAACATTTTTATATGTTTTCTTTAATCTGTTAATTTTACTTTTACATTGTTGTCCTGTAACGTCGTATGCCCTTTCTTTTAACTTGTTGGATATCATTTCCCAAAATTTCTTTACAGATAATTTTCCTGTATGTAATAAATTTTCATGCCGTTTATATGTTGCTAAAAGTAATCTTGTAGGTTCATCCGCCCATCTAAAGCCATCTGAAATTAAACATTATACATATCTAGGCCTCGTTCTGATATATACATTTGCCAGTATTGAAAATTTATAACTCATGTATACTACATATTTTCAGTATCAGCAGTGTATATTGGAATAAATTCAGTAATATCAAGGAAATAAATAACGCCGTTACTTTTATCGTTCTTTTTTATAATAATTTGATAACAACGTTGCAATTTTTATGTTGATAACGATAACTAACTAAAAGCTAAATGAAAGTCAGTTTTTCGATAAATATTTGTAACTGTTATACGCTATTTATTGAAAAAAAGTAACTTGATACTTATTAAGAATAGTAAATACAGGAATATAACACAGTACTGTCTTAGATTTATAATTATAAATACTATTAAGTTCACGCATATCAACGTCCACATTTATTATCTTCTTTTTTTTTCATTAAGAAAAAGAAAAATAGACATGAATGCTGATACATGTCAAACCAATGCCCATGGACAGCACTAAACGTTCTGTTATGGAACAAGTCAGAATGTATTCTGATCGTAATTATCCGATTATTCTGTAGATTTCTGTTATGTTTTCTAGAGAAAACAGAATAATTCCAATCGGAATCCATTCCAACTTGTTCCTTGATAGATACCCAGGGCTATACATATACATAAGTATATTCATACAATATATACCATAAACTTCATTATCAGACTGTATTTCTTGCTGCACAATATTTTCATTATTTTCTTTCTCTTTTGCGTTTTCTAATAATTGGGTACAATATACTAAATCTAAAAGGAAAGAAACCAAAGTTAATATTATCTTTGTATATAACATTCCTAACCTTTTCTACTTCATGCATATCGACAGCATAGAAAAAACAAAATAAAAATATTTAAAAAATATTTTACCTTTTGAAGCACGAAGATATTCTTCTTCAGTCAGGATATAGATGTTACCTTCATGATCTATAATTTGGTGTTGCATCTTGAAAATCTAAATGAAAGTGAAGGTGATTTCCCGCCAAATATCTTAGAACGCTCCAGCTAACCTACCTCTCGAGGTGAGGCAGTTGGAGCGAAGTGGGAGCGAAAACGATGACGTATTGATGACGTAATCAGGATTGCTGGGAGCGTTCCAAAGCGTCAAATGGACCAGTCATGTCAGTGCTACAAATGCTCTGTAGCGTTTGAAGCGCTAAGTGGACC